TAGACGTGTTGAAATGCCTTAACTTCTCTGGCTTCTCTATAGTACTTTTTTCCCTGGCTCCTCTACCTTTCTATCATATCGTAATCTTGGTAATCCAGACACTAACAACGAAACTCGCCAAACGACCGAATCGAATCAAGCGCACATTTTCATGAATGAACGAATGAACGAATGAGTATGAGTGAATGAAATTTCGATTTCCACAACTCCTACACCACAATAGCGATAAGAAGGGGCATTTGGCGGGGGCAAGCAACCTACTCGCGCATGCAAAACACGATTTACTATTAAGGCAAAATGCGCAGACAGTACAAAAAAAAATTGGGGAAAAGGGGATCGCAGGGAGGTGAAAAAACCACAGAAGCCAGACAACAAACAACTTTTGACGTCGCATAGAAGAAATTGAATGGAGTGGAGCCGTTTGAGTTGCTTGAATGGAGGAGTTCGAGGCCCCGGAGGAGTTTAGAGTTTTTAGACCCGACTGGAGACGCGACTCCATTCATAAATGGCCATGGCAAGCGGGTTTTGGCAACGTGCTCTCTTCGCCGAACGGATGACTCATCTCCACTGGATGGGAATGGTATATGGGATATGGTATAGGGGATATGGGATGGCAATGGGGCACGTGATGCCATCGTCGAGGTGTGTCAATTAGCAGTTGGTTGTTGCAGTTGAAGAGGCGGTACAGGAGGAGGAGGATGGAAAGGATGGGAAGGGGGATTGTGGATTGGCTGCTGGCTGAGGATGAGGAGTAGGTAATCGCTGGAGGTCCAAGTCCAGGGCGTGACTCATCTCGTCATGGGAGCTGCTGTTGCCACAGAGGCTTCTATGTAGCAGTTCTTAGTGTTAGCTAATAAAATTAGCAAAATTCTTGTAAGCCAAGAAAAAATACTACAAAAATAATAGGGAATTGGGGAATTATTAACAAATTATGTTGGTTTTTAGCTTTAATTTATTATTATTATCATTATTTTTTTAAAAATATTTATTTACTTCATTACCTAATTTACCATTTTAACTTTTATATTTACTTTAATACTTAATTACAAAATTCATTTTAATGGCTGTTCTTATATTTATTTGTATGTTTATTATTATATTTATTTGTATGTTTATTCTTTGATTTATTTCTATGTTTATTCTTATATTATTTGAATGTTTATTTTTAATTCTTTGTTTGTACATTTTAATGGAGTGAGTTCGGAGATATTAGGGATATATTAATTCAGGTTTTAAAGACTAAGATCCGAGTTCAGAAAAATGTAATTTAAAGTTCTAGTTCGTTGTCTGTAATTTCACACAGGATATAAACTATATAAGTCCTGTTCCCACTATAACCAAAATTTTCTGACTTTAAAGATCCGAAATAAATTCATAACATTTAAAACTAGTTCCGTTTGGAACTGAGACGTTCACCTCCATCGACTAACGCCTTTGCCAATTTATGAATGAAGCAATTGCCAACTGGTTTTCGCAGCGCCCAGACTTCCTGCGCCCTAGACTTGATCTGTAGACCCCCAGACTGAAAGCTAGACGACTGGCGGCGACTGGAAGTGTGCACCCACATGATCCCAAGAAGTCCAACGACAATTGTGCGGGTGTTCGGCACAACCACTTGAATACTCTGTGTATATCCACATCCGCTGGCTTCTCTATTAAATGCGGAAGAGGGCGGCATTCATATTCCCCGAAAGTTCCTGCCCCCCGGATTTCAGAACTCCAACACTCACGTGCTGGGCGGGATTCTCCGCTTTGGTTGGGGGTTTTCATATCCCAGAGTTCTGGGTTTGGCATTGTCGGCGGCTTGCTTTGTGGCGCCCACAGCCGCGTGCCGCTTTGATTAATTATGCGGTGCAATGTGGCCACCTACTCCTCCTCATCCTCCTCCATTTCCCCTTTCCCTTTGAATGGTTAACTGTCATTGTTCTGGCATATTTGTTCGCTTTATTCGACTGTAACTGGCTGTAACACACAACAATTGACCCAATTATGAGGACGACATCGGGAATATCTGGACACGGCGGGATGATTTTTCATGTCCATTGAACAACAGCTCGGTGGTTTTATCTCCACTGAGGGATCTGTGTTTGAATCACTGAATTTGAGGGATTTTCTTTGCCTCATTTGGCTTATTAATTTATCAGAATTATTAAGGAAAAACTCAGAAATTAAATATTTATGAGTTTTGTGTCTTCTGCTAATGACATTTATATGGAAAACATCTTTAAAAAGCTTTATTTTATTTAATATTAAATTTACTTGTTCTTTTTTTTTAGTTTTACATCATTCTTGTTTGCAGTCGTTAATATTATTATTATACCAAGAATTTATTTACCTAATATTAATACTTCCTGGAACCCTTTTCATTAAGAGTTGACTATCAACTTTTTCCTACAAACCAAAACCAAGTCCTGAATTTTCCATTTAGCCTGCCTGGCTAAACTTCATCCTTGACTTGATTTCTTGGCTTCTTGACTGCGTTTCCTACTTGTTCTTATTTTGTTACAATTTTCCCGCTGTAAATTTCCCTCGAAAGTTGCAACAAAGTGGCGAAAACAGCCGCCAGGAGGAAAAGGCAGTGCGCAATTTTACTGTCAATTAGGCGGCCACACGGGCAAAAGTCGAGTTTATTGTTGCCGAGCCACCTTCAAAATTTCAGGCCGAGAAGGAGGATAAATTTCTTCAGGGATTTTCAAGCACTGCGGGAAAATTATGAACAGGAATTATATAAAATATATTTTTTTAAATACAAATTTGTATATCTTTTTCTAAAAGTTTGTACTAAATAATTTCTCTAAAATCATTTAAAATTTTTAAAAAATTAAAGCAAGTATTAAATGATTTCTCTGAATTTTAATTATGTTATCTTTTAGATTTTTAAAAATATTTGAAAATTAAAGTTTAGTTATTTTTATAATTTTTTCTATAACTATTTTCACTTCTTAAATTTCAAATGACGGACTGCCTCCCACGGCAGGTGTGTTCACCAGGGAATTTCAATGCCAAAAAGGGAGGGATTCAGGAGTCCCAAAAGAGGGGGGGAATCAATCCAAGGAGTCCAAACACAAGCACGAGCGCCACAGCAGCTGCCGCTGAATGGACAGCGGCTAATTCCCCGTCGTCCGCCTGCCAAATGCCAAAATGGCAACAATGGACGTAGCACCGGGTGAAGGTCAGATTTCGGGCAATCAAACACAATGGACAAAGGAATCGTTTTGAATATGAAATGAGATTGGCACCGGAATGGTAGTCGCCTTGACCGTAGGTGGACTCCAATTACCCTACGGCAGCTGGAACCGCCTTACTTTGCCTCGGATTTTGGCTTCAGATTCGGATTCAGAATAGGATTCGCAATCTCGTCGATCTCGATTGATCTTTCAATCAATGGCAGCTGCCTTTTGGAGTGCGCCAATTTTCAATCTCGAACGTCAATATTTGCCTGGACTTAAGGCGGATTTCGAAATTCCAGGAATGCCCTGCTTTTTGGTGGCAAAGCAAGTTGGGTTATACTTAGTTAGGAGTAGACTACAAAGTTACCTATAAATTATATTTTTAGAGGTTGAAAAATCATGTACACAGGGAAAAGAAATAGGAATAAAAAATAGTTTGGGATGTTATTACTTAATATTAAAAATAATAATTATTTCTAATGATTTTTTTTTAATATTTTAGGGTTGCACACCTATAATAATAATATACTAATAATAATAATCAGTTTAGAAAATTTCTTTTTAAAACTGCTTAGACTTACCACAATTTCTAAACAATTTTAAAAATAAATGTTCTAAACTGATATCATTATTATTTCAAGAACATTCACATTTATTGATTTATTATTTTGAATTTTAAGTTATACAATTCTAAACTATTTTTTAAAGTCATCAGATAATACCAAAAATATTATTTTAGCAGTATTTTCTTTTGTATTTAAGTACAAACCTTTAGAAGACTACAGTTTAGGTTTATTGGTATCTAATCACTTCCTTTTTAGGATGGAACACCGCCTTATATGCCCACTTAAACCAGTGAGAATCGGGCACGTTATCGCCAGCTTTTTATCGTGCCACCGCCCAAAAGGAGCCGCGTCATCAGCGCAGATTGAAATAATTCCGAGTTGCCAACTTGCCAAGTCATCCCGAATTGGTCAGCGGTGTCGAGGCCTCAGATCTCTGGGTTTATACATAAAGGAATATTCCTGGGGAGGAGCGGAGATCGCGTGCGATAGGCAACGTCAATATTTGTGTTTATTTCTGGCTCGGATCGGATCAGATGGGAATGGGCATGATTATGAGGTCCTTGTTAGTCCGTTTGAATTGGCGGCGCTTTCGCTTTGAGGTCGAGAACAAGTGGCTGCCCAATTTGCGCTGTTTGCTCTGTTTGTGTATCATTTTGTGGGCCTGGCTAATTGTTTTGTGCCCTCAAAGATCGGGGCTACCTGACCCGATCCCGAACTCGATGATCTCGATCTATGGGAATCTCGGCGGTTTTATTTGCCCCGGATTTCATTATTTTGCGGTGAATGTGGGAAAACTGCAGGCAGGCTAGAAATTTAACAAGTTCTTTTTTCGAGTTTACTGGGAAGATTTTACAGGGTGACGAAAGGGAATGTTAAAATTTTAGTGCTGTTGACACTGTTTTTTTTTTGTTCGTTTAAAAATGAAAATAGTTATCTTGCGTTTTAGATTTTATAAAAATATGTAATTTATTCAAAAAGTTACATATTAAATATTATTTAGCCAATTGGTCTTCATATTGGTAATATCACCTGGAAATAAACAGGAATATTTATTAAAAACTCTAAGTAATAACAAAAAACCTTACCTTTACTGTGAAAATTTTGCAAACTTCAGTATCATATAGTACAATAAAATTTATTTAAACTTGTCAAGAGTCCGAATGTAGAAACATATATGTTTTTCATTAGCCACCATTAAATCTAGCTTGCAAATTATCCAGAATTCCACCATTAGTCCCATCGATTAAACTTTTCCTTCGAAGCGTTATTCATTGTGATTGACGATCTGATATAATCCCTGCTGTTTGCTCACAAGTCCCTTCTCGATGAGATTGTCCATGGCTTCGTCCACGTTGTTCACCAGCTTCAGAACTCTCTTCTCGGTAGTAATGCTCACGATGCGCAGGATCTGCTCTTTGGAAGCCTCGCCGCCCACGACATCCATGGACTGCCACACCAACTGCTCCATTGGGTCTTCGCCGATATCCTGGTAGCTTGATACGTTATTGAAAGACATTTTGCACTTTATAAATTTGAAAAAATAATGTTCGGAATACAACTTTTTTCTATTTTATAGAACAATTTATAAATATCAAACGTCTGCTCGCAAAGAAAGTGGATTGAAAACTGATTCTGAACAGTACAGGGTGAAATAATACAGTTTTTTTTTTTATTTTCAAAGCCTACTTGGAATTTTATTATATCTATTCAAATTAATTTTTAAATTTTCTTATAAAGCAACCCTTTTTTCTTGCAGCCCTGGTTCATTTTATTGGTTCCTTAGTTCACAGTTCATTTTCTGTCACTGGATTTTTCAAGCTTACAGTTCCAATTTTTCATTTTGTTGCATTTTAAGCTACGCGATTTTTTTTTAACCTGTTTTACAGTTTATTTTTACGGTTTTTAATAATTCGCTAAAAGCTAAAAGTTCTTGATAATGAGTGGTTCATGCAGTGAAATCGATTCGACTGCTTCGCCGGCAGAGGAACAAGCCAGGTGAGCTAAAAAACTACAAATTAAAGATTGCAAGTCAGGAACCTAACCTCAAATTTAGCAGCTCCCAAAACGATGAGAATCCTGAGGAGCAGACGCCGGTGAAGACATTGCTGCAATGTGTGCTGTCCAAAAATCAGAAGCTGGATGCCTTGGCCTCCCGATGGGTAAAGTTCTATGAGGAGAGTCCCACAGCTGCTTTGGTTACTCTAATGCAGTTTTTGCTGGAGGCCAGCGGAAGTCAGTACCAAATTCCGGGAGACACTACAAGGCCATTCTCCTATGGCGAAATCCTGCAAAGATCCTCTCTTCATTTTCGTAATGTAAGTATATTATATTAAATATTATTATAGCAATCTTAACTTTTTCTTCTCTTAGGTCACTTTGTATCCCATTATTATGAAGACGGCCGAATTCTTTGTCCACAGGGTGGCAGGCTTTTTTGAGGCCCTCTTAAAAGCGGCCAATGATTTGGCCACTGATTCATATAACACGTTTCTGGCCGAGATTACGGGCTTTCTAATGGCCTGCGCTGAGTCCAACGTTCGTCCTTTTCGCCACACAAACACCATGATTGGTATGTAATTAAAAGAGGAGGATAAATTTATGCAAGCAGTAAATTTACTGCTTGCACTGCTTGCCTTTTATTAACAATTAAATGCGCATAACTTTTTAGTGAATGGTCTGATTTTTAAATTTTCTATAGCATTTTGATAGATATTAAGAAACACAAAAAAAGGCATTTACACTTTTACTCTTTGAGTAATCGGTTAATACATTCAATTATATAGATTTTTTGAAAAATATTATTTCAGGTTTGAAAATAATGACCTTTTTGGTGCAACTTAAATCGGTGAACGATGAGGAGCTGAAGCAACTATGGATGCGGATGTTCCAGGGCCTGTTTATGGAATGCCATCGCGATGTGGTGGACAACATAAGGCTGCTCTGCATCTCCGAACTTGGAGTGTGGTTCGGCAACTACCCAGAGTGCCACCTGGACGCAAATAGCCTGCGTTTCCTCTTCGAAGCTTTGGATGATAGCTCGATGGAGGTGAAACTCTGCAGCCTGACTAAAATTTTAATCATCTGCCGTCACGAAGATCTTCGACCAATGTGCCTGACATTGGGCAATGAATTTCGGGAGCTATTACTCAACCTATGCGGTGATAAGGAGGATGAAATATCAGAGGAATCCTTGCGCCTCCTAACCGAATTACATCGATCTTCTAATGAAATTCTAAGTGATGATGAATGCGAGGTGCTGGAGGAATTGATGTTCACCGCACATCGAGGATTGGCGCAGGCTGCGGCGGAGCTTTTCATTCAGCGTAGAAGGGAACAAATGGAAGGAGCATCATTTCCCCAAAAAATGCGACATCTCCTCCAGTTTTTCATTGAAAAGTGTCAGCAAGAACATGCTGCCTATCTGGTAGATTCCTTGTTCAACAAATGCGAAATAATTTGCGACTGGGAGTCGATGATTGAAATGCTAATGGAGGATCAGTCGCCAGTTTTAACCGAGGATGAGAGCTCTGCTTTGATAGAAATCCTCTGTAAAGGCGTTGCGCAAGGAATTACCAGAGAAATACCACCAGGAAGATATACCAAAAATCTGGAGATTAGGCCAAGGTTAGATGTCCAAGACAGGGCCACCAAGTTACTGGCACCCGTGTTGCCGCAACTCCTGCGAAAGTATGCAAATCGCTCAGAGGATTTGGTAAATCTCCTGCAAATTCCGCGATACTTTTTTTCGCATTACTATAGCCATCCGGCTAACTTTGGACAACTTTCGGAACTCATGGAGCAAATCGATGTGCTCATGTTCCATCAGACAAACGACCGAGTGCTGAGGACTGGAGCTGGCACTCTAAGGCTTCTCTATGAATTGCAGTCAACGCATCTGCTTATAGAGACTATGCTGAATAGTGCGGTGACCAACTACAAGATTGCACTGCGCACCTGGCAGGAGATGTATGGCGTCTCGCCTTCATCATCATCATCCTCCTCATCGGGCTCCTCCAAATCACCGAGGAGCCGCTCACGCCGTCTGCTTAACACCTTGCGTCTGATTTCCGCCCTCTACGCTTATTTTGATCTCAGCTCCTGGCAGTTGACCGAGTCGGTTTTGTCCAGCTTAAAGCGGGTGACCAGGGAGCGGGATGCGGCGGCAGCTGGGGGCAGAGATAGCCTGCCGGCGGAGGCAGTCTCTCTTTACCTGGCCGTTGGCTTCTTCAGTCTGAACTGGGACCTCATGACCTTCAAGGAGGAGGCCCTAATCAATGAGGCGGGCAACATGGAGGATTCCTGTGCGGCCCTCAAGAAGCACTTGGAGGACTTTCTGTTCGTCACCTTCGATCAGGTTGTCAATGGCAACGATGTGTCACTTTCATTTCGTGTGAGTAATGGAGGAAAAGTATTGAATAATAATATTACTAGGTGGTAAATCAAAGGATTTCATAAAAATTTGTGTTGCTATCTTTTTCATTTTAAATATGAAAATATTTCATTTTTATATTTATAGTAAATTTAAATATTTTAAACTTTAAGCTGAATACGAAATTCTTTTTTTTTTAATGACATCAAATATTTAATGTTCAAATACTTTCAAATTTAATCGTGCACCAGTTTTGTATTAACTATTAGGTTTTTGTACTCAATTCAAAAATGTATTACAAAACTTTTCATTCAATATGCATATATTTATTTTAAAATTGATTTAAAATATAAATATTTTTCGATGTCTTCATTTTAAATATGATATTTAAATTAAATTTATATTTTGAATCTAATATTTTTAACTTCATTCAAATATTTTCAAATTAAATAGTGATATTAAATGTTTCATATTTTCGCATTCAATATGCAAATATGTTTGTAATATTCCCCTTTTTTTACCTTTTATTAATTACAGTGCTTTTCCTATATCTGTGATCTGTTTATGATATACGATCACCAGATGCTTGACGGTACCAATGCTTTGTTGCGTTCTGCTGCCTATGAACCGTCTGTAAATGAGGTGGAGATACTGGAGAGCTTTCTTTTGCGACACCTCTTGCTGTTGAGTCCTTCGGATCTTATGCAGGATGCACATTATGATCAGCTCCAGAACAGCCGTCGCATTCTGGTCAGCTACTGCAAACTGGTGGCTTTCAATGTGATCCCAGCCATGCGAGCCTGTAAGATTTTCCAGTATTACGAAAAGGTTAGTTCGATTGAATTAAATTTAAAATTTTATTTAATTTATCTCACTTGTTTCCAGTACTACCTTCCATATGGTGACATTATGAGATCTTCCATGGAACAGGCTCTCCGTATCAATCCCGTTCACTACGGCATGACCATATTCCACACCTGCTTGCAGCTTTACCAGAAGATTATGAACGATAATAATGATGATGGTCCCAGGGCTTTCGGTTCTCCAGAGTTCAGCGAACTAATGAACCTGGCCAAACGATTGGGCGAGACACTCATATCCAATCGCATACAGAATCGCGAAAGTGTGATCACTCTTCATAGAGCTGGAATTATGTACGTTTTGGAATCGCTGCCAAACGAACCCACAGCTGCCCCAAAAAATCTACTCTTCTTGAGTGTCCTTCAGGCTTTTGTGCCGCAGCTTTTGGGGCAGGACAAGAATGGGATATTGGAATTACTGCAGAAAATCGAGCAGCCGGATTTACCTTCGTGCAACCGAGAGGAGTGGCAGCCTTTGGAAGGATATCGTTCAGTTTTAGAGAAAGGAACTCAGCCACTTAGAGAGCTTAATATTTAAAATGTTTGATTATATTCGAATGTCATCTTGATTATACAAAGTAATACAAGGAAGACATTAAACAAGGGAGAACGCATTAGTTAAGTTCCTCGGATATTAAAGCAGCGCCATCTATCGGAAAACGCATATTTGATTATAACTTTTTAATGAATGGTCCGATTTTAAATTTTTCTTCTACATTTCGATAGGAAATAATAAGCACTACAAAATGGCATTTAAACTTTTATAAAATCTGTAAGAATTAGTGCGCCACCTTTATTTTTGTTGATTAATTTACCTCCATTATATGTTAGTGTTAAGTAGAGATTATTAGGAGTTTAGTTCTCCGTGTTGAAATCCTTCGACATGTGTCCGCAAATTCATGTTCATTCTCGCTACCTTTTTGTGTGTATTTCACTGCCATTGGAAATCCCATTTCCCTCTTTCATAGGAGCTTTTCCTGCTGCCGTGTGTGCCACCTTTCGTTCAAATGGCTACAAAAGGTTGCGTAATAACGCCCAGTATCTTGTATCTGCAGGCTGCATTCAGTCGTCAGTCGTCAGCTGCCGTGTGGTATCGAATTTCCAAGTCCCATTCATATCGAAGGCTGCTCAGCAATTTTCAATTTCAATGCCCGTTCGCTGACAAATTGACTCGCAACTTTGTGGGTTCTCTAGAGGAGTGAATGTGAATGTGGAATGGGGGGTTTTGGGTTCTCGGCTCTCGGTTCTCCATGTCCCTGTCCATGTCAAAGGCTGCTCGAGCGAACACGGCCTTTGACACCCCGAAATGGAGATGGAGGTGCAGCAGGGAATCGAATCCCGGGGCCCTCAAGGTGGGCGCTAAAATTTTGGAAATGAAATTCAAGTGGATATTGGGTCACTTCTGGTTTTGGTTTTCAAGTGCCCGGCCGTTTGTCCATTTCCTTGGCACATGCCAAGTGGTCGCCGAGTATCCGATTTCGGCGGGGGACCGGGAAACCTATTTAATACCTTTATAGAACTGCAGCAGTATTTTTGCAGATTCCACTGCGGATCACAGCTGTGGGAGATGCTTGGCGGAGCATTCCTGGCCCATCGAGCACACGGTGGATGTGGATTGTTGGGGAGCAACATCTGGTCATACTGATCTTAATTGGAACATCTCCGCAAAAGAGGCACACTTCGGTTGTTTCACGTTCGGCACTGAAAGAAAAATCAGAAAAAAAGTTATTAATGAGAATAATCATATTACATTTATGTTTAAGATTTTAAGAATTAAAAAAACCCTATTTATAAGTTAATATTAGGATTTTTTAAAATCTATGTAATACTCCTCAATTTTTTAGAAAAAATTGAATTATAAAGCTTAATAAATATTATATGTAATTTTATAAAAATTATGCATAAAACTAAATAAATTATATGTTTTATCTGAAATATTTCATATTTTGTTTGCTTATAAATCCTTAATTTTAAGAAGAAATTACAAAATATTATTATGAGTGTAACTCCTTATTATTAAAATAATATAATGATGCTTTGTGGTATATTGTATAGGAACTATTGTATCTCTTAGCATTATCTTTGATCATTATTTAAAACAAATGTTGAATATTATGTAATGTAAAGAGTACTTAAGATCTTGTATTAGTATAGTATATTAGTATTTTCTCCAGTGTTCCTGACAGGTAGCAACGAACTGAGCTGAGCAACCTGGCCCATCAATTTCGCGTAACGGGCTGCGAGAACCGCTAGGCCATGGCAATTGCGTTTTTCACGGTCCTTTCCGATCTCCGATCTCCCCCGAACGATCTTTAGATCCAACGGAACCTGATCACAGATGTCCTGACGGCCGTAGCCCAGATCCGATCGCCCTCGGTTGCGGTTTAACGAGATGTGCGCCCGCCCCCTCGACACACGCCTCCACCTTCAGAGGGCGAAACCCCCGAGAGCCGAGATCTCCCCTAGTACGATTTTTTGGACCTGATAATATAAACCCCGATACTCCGATCCTACGCTTCTTCGCTCCTCAAGCGAAAGTGTAACGCAATTTCAGACACGCGCATCTGTCGTTCGTTTTGAGTTTCGGTGTTCGGGATCTTCAAGGAACAGTTGTGGAACCCCGAAAAAATATACAGAATTGTTTGCAAAAAAAAGGAGAGAAGGAGTTTTAAATACCCAAGAAGGGGGCGACACGTGGCACTTGATTCGTATCACATTTCTGGACTATTTCGGGAGTTTACATTTCGGCAGGGAAGGGTTTCACTTCTTTAAAGTATTTTATATATTTTTTATTTCGTTAACTCCTCTTGCCAACTGTCAACCCATTTGGCCGATATTTATGGCCAGTTGCCGTTGGGCATCGGGAATTATTTTTTCTTTTGGGGGAGGTCTCCGTTTTTTTGTCTGTTGCAACTGTTATTAACATGAATTTATTGCTTGTTTCGGCGTTTTTTCGGCTGCGAATTTGAATTTTAGCGGACAAAGTGTGACCACACCGGACTTTTAGCGCTATTAGGGCCTAAAAGGGTCCTGTTAGATAGGCAGAATTTAGGGTTTCCACCTTTCCTTTGCAAGCAATTTTAATTTTATGTTCTCTTATGTTAATTCTTAAAACATCAAACTTGTTCAGGTTAAAATGAATTTACAAATGTATCATTTGAATTACCGTTTAAAAATTTAAAATTTTTTAAGAAAATGTTTATTTTAAATGTAGAATGTTAATAATTATAATTTAAGCATAAAAACAATTAGGAAAAAAGTTTTTTATTGGGAAAATTAATATTTTATTTTTTTTATATTTTTCTTTGCTTTCTTTTTATTATTAGTTTATATTTTTGGCTGTTAAAAATTCCAAAATTCGTATTCAGGACATTAAAACCTCATTCCTAGTCCCAAATCTAATATCCCATCATTTATCAACCTTTGAGGTTACCTTTACCCTCTCCATTTTATTTGAAAAATGTCTTTCTAATCGTCTGAAGTGCAACAACATTAACAATGTGAACTTAGGCAAATCCATTTGGCCCCGTCAAGTTGCGTGTAAAAACACGAATCGCTCGATTCATCATCGCGACAGGAGGTCCTCAGACGAGGTCCTTCCGATCCTCGCGGTTCCATTGATAAATGCCAAAAGAAATTTGTCGTTTGTCAATCAGAGGATCTTCGAGTTTTTCGAGGTTTCAGTTTGAGTTTGAGGTGATCCCTTTCGACTGCTCGACTGACAGCAAACACGCGGTGTTGTCCTTTTTTCTGTTTTTGTTATTGTTGCTACTTCTGCTGCCTAATGTCTTGGCAAATAAGGAGCGTCCTGGCTCCTGGCGACGACTTCTGCCACGGTAGTCCCATGTCCCCGGCATGTCCTATATCCTCGGGATGTCCTCCTGTTCCTGGCAGGCACAACGGTGTGTGTGTAAATCAGGCCGCCTGTTTACAAATGTGTCGCCATCGCGTAACTCAATCCTTGCCGCGCAGCTAACACAGGATGCGCCCGACAGCCGTCGCCGGCTTGGCAAACCAATAAATACCATTTAGATGTTGCCCTAAGGACCCCCATCTCGCCCCTTACACGGAGAATAATTATGGGTATTTTACGGATTTTTAGGGGATTTTTGTTACTAAAAAAATTTAATATTTACTTAGAAATTAATTAAATACATTTAAAGTAAATTATAAATTAGATTAAATTAAAAATCTATTGACTAAAAAGTTAGTTTTGAGGAATATTCAAAATGTTATAGATTAAATACGATAGGAATAATATCTTACATAGGTTTATCATTCAAAATTTAAAAACTTTTTAAATTAAATATAATATTATATAAAATTGGTAATATTATTTTTAATTATCCCAAAAACATGAAAGTCTTTATTTGGTTTTAGTTCACATATTTACCTATGATCTTAAGTCCCCGAAAATATTTGCTGTGCTTCTTGTGTGTCAACAGAGTCATGTGTCTGAATGTCGCCGTCTTCAACATATGTCCTTTGATACACACGCACACACACAAATCCTGCGAGGGACAAAGGTTCCAAGGTGCAGCTGAACTCGCCCAGGACACGCATAAATTAACGGGCACGGAGTTACGCTGATTGTAGCTCTAATCCCCTGATCCCCTTATTTCTGTTTTCTGATCCTGCACCTTTTGGCCCCATTAGCACGCGTTCGCCGCGCATGCGCACGCGCAGCCACTTGAAAGGATAACGAATTTCGACTCCACTTCGTAGGGATACGTAGGATACGTGGGTTAAGGGCCAGGACCCAGAGTTCTCCTGCTCAAGTGCCAGGGTTAAAATTAGTCGAGCCCTGTCAGCAAATCTGATTTACGCGCCAGCTGCTCCTTTTTCCTCTTCTCGACTGCAATCTGCGCTCAGCTTTTCGTTTTCGGGTCTGCCTCTTTTACTCAAATTATAATTTTAGTGGCAATCTAATTAAGCAATTACAAGCGTGTTGTTGAGCTGTGTTGATTTATACTCTGGAAAAGGGGAAAAGTAAATTGTGGGACAGATGCTGAATCTGAAATCTCTGGAAATGATTTCTAAAGAGACTTAAGTAGGATTTTTTGGATGGTATGAAAATGTTTGCAGCTTAAAATATAGTTAGGTGTTACGATCATATTAAATTCATTGAATAATCTAGTAAATTTAAATAGTTTTAGCTATAAGAAAAGAAAAATATTCTATTTCTTTAAAAATCTTTAATGAAATTTACTACCTTTTTTCACAAAAAATTAAGAATTTTGTAGAGTCTTTGGGTGATATAATTTAAGTGTGGTAAAGAAAATGATTTACAACAAATATTTTACAAAAGGAAAAATAATATAATATTTTTTGTGAAATCTAATAAATACAAATATTTTGAGCTAAGAAATAATATTACATTACGTTTAAAAACCTGAAACGAATTTTATTTAAAATTGTATAGAAAGGTAATATATTTTCATTGGCTTTCTTTCAGGAACTTTCTTTCTTGGGGTAATTTAATTTAAGTGAAGTAAAGAAACTTCTTTACAAATAATATTTTACAAAGGGCTGAATTTGAGCGGGAAATCTTCCTCATTCCCATTTTATATATTGGCTCCCTCTCCACTCCATTGGCTTTACAAAATATGAAGGTCTTCTGGCATTTTACCTAGGACACTTGACTATTGACACCGGGGACAGTTCAATTAAATGCGATATTTACAACACCTGACACGGACCACAAACTGGACAAATTAGTTGACAGGGCCAAAAAGACGATGACCACAGATGGTCAGGGGTCAAGTGCGGAGCCCAGATGCTCTTCTTGTCTCTGATCGAAAAGGAAAAGTGAATGAAAATTAATTACCATGCGACCATCGATATACAAATAATCCATAAAGTTGTAGATATATATTTTCCCAATGGACCCAAGCGATCCGAAAAACTCATCCAACAACCTCTCAACAATTAATCATGCGAAGAGACATAACTTTCGGTGAGATTTTTAATGACTGCGCCTGCTGTCATCGCGTCGATCGTAAAAACTCCCATCAAATAGATTTATTATTGAAAATATTTTGGCTGTCCTGTGTGGATTGTTGTGTATTTTTGGGTCCTTGCACAAAGGATGTGGCATCAGGATGATGAGCCGGCGTTTGCGGATGCCCAAAGCAAATGTTGTGTTAAATTTATTTTTATTGTACTTTGTCATTTTATTTTATGATGACTTGGGGCATTTCCCGCTCCTCCGTTTTAATATTGTTTATATATTCGAGTTCGATTCGTCGAGGGTCATAAAAGTGCAAATGGTCAAACATTGGGGTATTTTTCCCGGGGGGGAAGGAAGGAGCAGCTGTCTTTTGGATAGAAAACAATAAGTTACAATCAGAATAGAACCAGAAGCTTCATCCAGTAGCATCGATGGAATGCCTCTTCAATCTACGATTCTCTATATATCCGTTTGTAGCGCCGACAATCCTGTGTATACCACACTAATTAACCCTTGTAGCCCCGAGAGATGGATGACAAAAATGGAATGGGGCGGAATCTTGGGGCGAGGAGCACATACAACACCTTTACACATAATTAGGGGCCTGTTGACTGCTCCCGACAATGGATGTGTGTGTCTATATGGAAGGTAAACACATGTCTAGGCCAAGAAGGCACTGGGAAAAATATATAGAAAATTCTAGGGATTAATAGTTCATTATAATCTGCATAATATGATGATTAGATATCGTTTTATAAACTAAACATTTTTAGCATTCAAATATAAATTAAAAAAAATATGTTTTTCAAAAAATTTTATTTTTTTGAAGCTTACAGCTCATAATAAATTATTAAGAAAAATTTATATTTACTATTCATAGTTTTTAGGTTCTCCAAAATATTTAAATAGCTGAAAATGAGCTTAATGCCTTAAAAGTTAAAGCTACTTTTTGTGGAATATATTTCCAATCAATAAAATACATTTATTTCAATTCAATAAAATACATTTACTTGCAATAAATAAAATACATTTATTTCTTTTCATTAAAACTCATTCATTTCAATTCAATAAGATACATTTACTTTTTTCAAGACATAAAATACATTGTTTCAAGAAATAAAATACATTTATTTCTAATAAATAAAATAACTAATACAACATTTTTTAGAATGCAGCATATAATTTACTAATATTATTTTAAATTTATTTTGAAACACTCTTCACATTATTGTGATTTCTGCATTATATTTAATGGCTTTAAGAATGCTAGTCGAAAGTTCTATATTTTTCCCAGTGCTCACCGTAACTTCTACTTATTCCCAAAGCACCTCCGGCTGGAGCGTCATCTTGGTGCTGCTGCCATTCATTAATCCACATAGAAATGCCAATGGCAGAGTGAGATGTTGATGGTGAGCCGATGGAGATGGAAATGGGAGTGGGAATGGAGATGGAGAGGTGATGGTGACCAAAGCGAATGCAAACGAAGGCGGCTGCGGCGGCACAACAACAAAGCGGCCAAGAGGCCTATTAGCCACAATAAAGAGGAGGTCCCCCTACTCCCAGCCCCCTCTAAATCCCCATTTCCCCCTGGAAACCTAGAAATTCTATTATGCAGATGAATGGATATGCGACTGACTGACTGACTGACTGGGTGTTTGTGTGTTTGCCCCGCCAGATGCCATTACAATGTAAACCCAACAAAAGTTCACTCGGCAAACTTGATGCGGGTATTCTACCAGGAGACGTCTTCATCTTCTCCATGTAAATACGTATGTATTTTTACTTCCAGCCACCGCAGCGGAACAATTGATCAAATATCATAATTTATCAAATGACAATGCAACAGGCGGCGGCATCGGCGGCCTCTGAACGTTTACGTTCCCGTATTTACTTGCCCCAATCCCCACACCAAAGACCCCGATCTCATCTTACCGATCCCCGAGATCCCCCATTCCATTCGAAAGCTACAACTTAATTTATTTGAACAATTTAGGTCTGACACAACAGCCATCGTTTGGCTGTCGTGTTCTCGGTCCTCTTATTTATTTCGATGGTCAGTCGGAACCCCATCTATTTAGCATAATTGCAGCTACGATCGGAGAGACCCAGAGAGAAGACCCCCGATAATAATGCATTCTTGTGTGGGGTCTGGTGTAATCCTAGATAGATAGGTCAAATAACCAAATTAAAAGGCCTGGGGAAAATATTGGGACAAACCGTTTATTGTTCTATTATGGTAAACCTGGTCATGGCATTAGTTCTAATCTTACTGCGGAATACATTCTCTATTGGAAATGGAAAAGTTTCGAATTAAATTGTGTCAAGTTTGCTCACAAATTGGTGTCTTTATGAAGGCTGGGTAGGTTTCTTTATGGTTGGGCTTCGATTTCTATTAGATTTTTCTTTTTAAAGTAATTTTTTTGTTGAGTTTAGATATCAAACACTGAGAATCTGAAGAATTCACGGGTTTAGAAATTGATTTGTAATAAAGTTCATGACAATTTCTTAAAAGTAAGCTTACTTTTACAAAAATTTTAAGAATTTGTGTAGTTATTTATTGGATTCAGGTATTGTAACAATGAGACATTAAAGAATTCGCTGTTTTAGTCATAGATAAAAAATGAAGTTTATATGAGCTACACAAAGAAAATCTAAAGAATTCGCGGTTTTAAAAATTAATCAAAAATAAAGGTGATTCTAATTTCTAGGGAAATTAAATTACAAAAATAAAATAAATCTTAAATATAAGAATATCCTAAATTCTTTAAATTTGCTTCGAGATAAAGTAACCTCTGATTTAATTCTCCATCAGAAGTCATTGTGTAATATATTTTAAATTTCCGTGTTATAGATAGTGCTAAATTTGATTGTAACATTTACTGTTTGGTTCCATCTTCGCGATCCAAAATTCCAATGGACAGTTATGAGAGGGCCAGGAAGCTTCAAGAGGATGCGGGCATCCCACCTGGGGTTGTCAAACGATGCTGCTGCAACTGCCGAAGGAAGTTGGATCCCTATCAACTATTCGATGACAATGTGGAGGATATAGCCAAGAGTCTGGCTCAGATAATGTTGATTTGTGGCATTAGCACGTCTAAATCCTGCGCTGCGAGGTCGATAATCAAAAGGGCCTTTGTTTATCACGAGCGATTAAGGACCACCTGTCCACCGAATCCTGCGCCCGGGAGTCGTCTGAATCGCGAGGACTTGCTGCAGGCACTGCGACTCAAGTGCGAAATGGAACCCGTGGAGGCGATGCTCACCTATGCGATCATCAAGAGGGCTTTTAAGGCATTCTATCATGGAAAACCCCTGGTTACAATTAGTAATCCCATTGTGGATGCCATGGCGGTGCACACCCAACATGCCGCCTGGATGCATGCAGCTCATAAGACCGCGAGGATTTTCGACAATTACAAGGCGGCCTTCTTCTGGGCCCACAAACACTACGAAAGGCAGATTAATCTGGTGTATACTGCTCTTTACCAACGAATGACCACCCGATCGGATCCTCTCCTGGTTCCGGGTTGTCCCTGCAGAGGTTGCTCCAAACAGGAGGTTCCCGGTCATCCGAAGGCTGGGAAAAAGCAGATGACGAAGATCAAGCTGACGGAGGGTGCAGATCTCCCGGAACCCTGCATCCTCTGCGGTTTGCAGGTGCCGCGAATGGAAAAGGGAGCTGTGAAGATCAAAAGGAAGTTACCACGTCCCATCTTAAATCATGAGGTTAATCTCCCCCGTTGCCAGCAGTGCAATTCACCCTTCCTCATCTGCGAGTGCAACATTGATCAGTTGACCGGCGAACAGTTTGGCGAATGTGGTCAGGATTCCTACAAGGTCAAGTGGTATCGTCTGGAGGAACCAGTGGCTATAACCCAACCCAATCCCCGATCTTCCCCTGGAGATGAAGAACAGGACACCAGCTATGCGGAGGCTATGGAACCTCCAGAGGATTGGGATAACCATCATTGCCCCTTGGACTGCAAACACGATTCCTGCAGCGAATCCTCGAATGTCTGTCATAGCACTTCCTCCTCGGGTTCATCGGGTTCCTCGGGCAGTGACTTTGCCACCTGCGAGGAGGGCGATGACAAGGAGGAGGACGTTGTGGCCAAGCTGGAGGATTACCTCAACAAACTGTGGGCCGAGGAGGTGGCGCAGAAGAAGAATCCTGCGTATGTGCCCAGAACTATTGAGCCACCTGGTTTGAAGTGTCTTAAATGCAAGGACTAATTTTGGGATCTTGTATTTCTCTGTTCACATTTTGGCTAAATAAATTGTAAGGTGATGGAAAGTGGTGAAAAGGTATTAGGAAATATGTTTAAAAATTAGGGAAATAAGGGAAATTAAAAAAGCAAAGCTAAGGCTAAAAATATATATCATTATGGTTAAAAATTATGTTTTTTTTTTTTAAAAGTTTTTTTATTTATTTCTATTGTTTATTTATATTATTTTTTGTATTTATTTTGTATTTTTTTTATTTATTTTTTATTTATTTTTTTTATTTTTTCGAAGTCTCCTGAGTTACAGTAATTATTTTTAATAATATATTTTATTTTTTTATTGTTAAACTAGTTTTTCAAATACATAAGAAAGACTTAAAAAACCACAAATATGCTCTTAATTAAACTAGTTTTATGGGCACCTTTGAGAATTCAGAATTCCAATAGTGGGGGTGGTGTTCTGTCACTTCGGGTAACACCTCTAGTTCAACGACTTGCCGTTCCCCTGGGCCACCCACTCCCACTAGCGAACCCACTCCCACTGCCACTGCCACCTGGGGAATCGATCGCCCACACGGGAGCCGGCGCTTATCACGCGCCCACAGATCGCACAGATGACAATGGCCACTTAAAATGCCATTGCCTGTTGTAATCGCCTCTAAATTGCTGGCACCTTGGCTTTTTTTCTGAGCCTGGAATGGGATATGGGATATGGGCTATGGAATGGAACATTCAATGGGATGGAGGAGCTACTGTTGTCATCGCCGGCTGCTCCGCCCAGCAAATCCCAGCTACCAGGAGCTTCCACATAAATCGCTGCCCTTATCTAAGCACTTGCATCTTCGCACTGGAACAGAGCTGCGGATCCGCGGATTCGGATGCGGATTCACGCTCCACCTCGTCGCTTATCAATCTCAGCTCATCTGCACGCAGAACAGAACCGAACTAAACCAAAACGTATAAAAAACCAGACAAAAATAAAAAGAAAACGAAGCTGAAGTTGGAGAACATCTTCTGCGAAAAATAATTCCGCAACTTGTCACATTTTGTAAGATTCAAAGTCGCAGAGACAGGCACTAAACTACAGACGCCTCTGCGCCAGGGATTCGGGGATTGGCCAGGAATGAAAGGAGTCCTTGGCTGTCGGGATGCAACTATTATTACAGGGTATTTGTAAATAAAGGGGAGTACTCGATTACAGCTAGGAAAAATTAAGTATAAATAATTCTGTCAATAAAATAAGTAATTTTCATTAGATTTGGTGCTTAAAAATACAAAATACAATGTGAGGTAGTCAAATATTTTGACTCGAAAAACTATATGATCTTATATAACACCTATAGGCACTCGTATACCAAAAATCCTGATGATCTATAGAAATTAGAGAGATAAAAACAGAGTATTTTGACTGGAAATTACATATAATACCTAAAAGCACTCATATACCAAAAATCCCGATGATCCATAGAGATTGGAGAGATAAAAACAGAATGTATAGGGCTGGGTTGAATTTATGACGATTATTTCGGGTATTATTTAATTTAAAACTTTACATTTAAAGGGACTTCCACCAGTCGAATTATCCCCATTTACCCTCACTATTTTTGGCTAGGCTCAGGCTTCACCCTCGAATTCTTCCCGCCTGTCTTTCCGAATGTCTTTGCATCTGTCTGTTGCTGTGGCATGTTAAACTGAAGTCACATTTGCATATAGATTTATTTTTATGGCCACTGCCTTCGGATGGCTCGTGAACTATTTATGTGTGACGATCGGATCGGATTGGTTGGTTGGGGGTGGGAGATCTCCCTAGCAGAAAATCGGTTCTTGCCCAACCAAACTGTCATAAAAAAGATCTCCATTAAATATTTGGAAATATTGAAAAATCTCTAGATGATTCCGCGTCTTGCCAAATTCTTAATTATGATATGCTCACATTGAAGTTCTCTATTAGCCAAGATTTGATATGTCTTCCCATTCCCGTATTTTTGATGGGATGCTCTGTGGTGTGTGTTGTGTTGTGGTAAACAAAGCTCTCACACTCAATTGAGTGCCACTTTTCGATTTTGGATGGAACTTGGAAGCTGTTGAAGAGACGCAAGAAACCATTGAACTTTTCAATAGCCATCAAATTTGCGTCTAATGCGAACTGAGACTCCAAAAGATCCCCTGCCATCGCCTTCGAATTTGTTAGACCCCTGCATTCAATAGGCACTGCAGCCACTCGAAGTTCACTTTGATTGTTGGATTCTAATGCACTCGGAAAAATCATGATTTAAAAATATGATTTTCTATTTCATAAATATAATTCCATTTGAGGGGTTCCCAAAATTCTAAAGAAAGTGCATTTTCCAATAGAATTGTACATTAAAATGTATTAAAGCATACTTTTAGACACCTTTAAAATACGATTTCTAAAATATAGGGATGTTATTAACCCTTTAAATACCTATAGGCACTCATATACCAAAATTCATGATGATCTATAGAGATTAGAGGGATAAAAACAGAATTTAAGAGGCTGTTTTTAATTTTTGTTAATTATTTCTAGTTTAAACCTTAATATTATATTTTTTACCTTTCTTTTAAATTTCTTCTTTTAGAATTTATCCAAATTTTTTTCTGCGTGCATGTTCTGTATCGATCTGTTCCATTGTTGTGGGCCTGGAGCTTAATAGTCTTTTTATAGCTGCACTTTTTCAACTTCAATTAATGAAGTGTCGAGTTGTTAACACCAAAACACACGCCTTGCTCCCAGTGGTGCAGCCTACTCCTCTCGGTCTCCAATGCCCAATGCCCAATCCCCACTATATAATACCCCTCCTCCACCTCCGTTTATCCCATCTCCCCATGGACCTCTATTTCCAAACATTTCGCCCAGCCGCGAGATGGGAACAAACTTCGCCGCTGATGCTGCTGCTGCTGCAGGTGGGGCAGCCGAAAATGTAAACAAACAAATTAAAACGAGCATCGACAGCAGCTGCAGACTTTGCCTCAGGTGAGAAAACGGGGCTGGGAGTTGGGCGATGGTCGATGGGAGTCGGGAAATGGGGTAAGGGAAAATGCATTTTCACGGCAGCGCCAAAAGCAAACAAGCCAGACAGAAGCCTAGAGAAACGGCAGCAGCAGCGGCCAGAAGCCAGAAGCTCTTTAATCCCAAAAACTTTGGTAGCACTTAGCGGTTTACGAGGCTCTGGAGAGGAGGCCTTTAAAGTATTTGGATACCCGAAGTGGGAAATAAGATATGGAGCCAACCATTAGGCCTTCCATCCGGTGCTTTTTTTGGCGACATCTCGTCGAGATTGAGTTGTTAAACGTTGATGTGTGATTAAAATCGGAAATTTAACTGACACTTCACAGTGGGAAAAAATGTATTGTTATGGTTTTAAAACATAACAAGAAACCACATCAAAATGTTAAAAAATGTATCTTTTATTTTCTCACCCTTTAAAAGTTTAAATTCATTGTCTCTTAATTTTTTGTATTATTCAAAATAAGGTATCAAAATCTTTGAAATCATTATCCTAGCCTTAAATTTAATGAACAGAAAATAAATAAAATATTATATTAATACATATGTATGTAATAAAATAAAAATAATATATAATTTTCCCACTTTTCAAAACATAAAATTCTTTAAGCTTTTTGTTTTATTTTAAATTAAGTATTAAAATCTTTGAATCTTGAATCTTTGAAATCTATTTACATCAAATTTATCAATAATACTTATACATCAAATATTTAAAAAATGTCTGAAAGTAAATGTATTATTTAAAAAAATTTTGAATTCCTAACATTTTATTTATAGAAATTTGATTTTTCTTTTTTTAAATTAAGTATTTAAATTTGTGAGATCATTTTTATTTTCCCAGCCTTACACATCTCACTCCCACTTTTGCTCCTTGTTTATTGGATCAGTTAGTACACTTCTCACATCATCCCATTGTGGTTCGGTTTGCTCCGCTGCTTCACGGTGTCCAGAAATCAGAAACCAGTGTGGGAAAACAGTTGGAGCGTCAACTGAAGCGCCGCTTCCACCTGAAACTCCACAATAAAAATAAAAAAAAATCTGGAGAAGGCCGCCGCCAACGCATCCAAGAAGTTGGACTCCAAGAGCAGTGAGAAAAATGTTAATGATAAACCTGTTTGTCAATTAAACAAAAATATTGTAATAGTTGATAACAGAATGGGCAAACACGAAATGAAGTAAGAGGGAGTGAGATGATGAGAACTTCCCAGAACCGAAATGGTGGGGAAAACGGGGGGAAATCGGAGGAACAGAGGAGCAGCCAGGGACAACCTGTCAACCCAAAAGGGCCCAAAGGCTGCACTGACTCGATGTGCTTGACTTTGGTTTCATTATCGCCTCGCCTTCAACTTCAATTTTACCATGTCCCAGGCCCAGTTCGAATTGTGCACTGAGAAAAAAGGGGACAAGTTTAAAGAAACTAATTTTAGGAATTAAACATGGTTAATTACAATGAAAAATTCCATTTTATGATCTTCCTATAAGTATAAAATGGAGCTCACATTTTAGTGCAAGTTTAAACTGTATCGAAAAAGGGACAACATAAAAATGTGAAATCAAAAATCGAAATTAGGAAATAACTCAAAGAGCATAACTATACTGTTAAAATAATATTTATTTGATATAAAAACTGAAAAGTAATATACTTTGATAGAAGTTTATGAAGACTTTTAAAATACAAAGTAACACTAAATTTTACCACTTGTCTTTTTTACGCCCAAATTTATAAAGCTTACGTCTTTAATCAGATTATTACTATTAGTATAATATCCTAAAATTCTATTCAGAACCCATTTATTTTTCTCAGTGCTTTTCTATTCGCATCTCTCGGCCAGTTGGACGCTCTGGCTTATTGTTTAGTGAAGCATTTAACTTTTAAATATGATTGTGTGTGGCAAGAGGAAAAGTGTTTTGTGCATGTGATACCGTTTTGAAAGACATTCCGAGTGGCGATATGGAATGAAGTGAAGAGGGGAGGAGGGCGTTGTAAGTTGGCGGGGGAATGGGGGAATTGGGGGCATCTCGGGCACTTCACTCGCAGCGCTGTGAAATATTTCCCATGACAATTCTGTTTGTTTTTCGTGCATTGTGTGCTCGGTTGGCACCTCACCTGGACATGGACCCTCCATTCCACCACTCCACCCATTTTATCCCACATTTCTGGACCGCCTTGTCTTGTCTCGTCGTCGCCCACTCGTTCGCAGAGGTTCCCCGTCATCGAGGTGCCCCATCTCCATAGCCATAGCCCATCTCCATCTGAAATGGTCCACAATGTGTGGAACAAGTTTGCTCTATTTGCTTTATCTATGCCCATTGCCGTTGACGGCTGTCCCAGGCATTTTCCCAGGCAAAATCACCAGGCACAAGTCTGCTCCTCTTGAGCGACAATAGCTTCCAGGCGATTCCCATCTCCCAATCCCCAACCCATCCTCCATTTGCCCTTCGGAGGGGGAGGGAGCTCCTCCAACTGGTTGGTCGGAGGTCTCCCATATGGCGGCATTAGCTGATGGGTATTTCAACAGGCCGCCCGGCACGAGTTGGCATCCCAGGCATCCTGACATCCTTCCAGCGAGTTGCTAAAATAACCAAACATTTTGAAGGGAATTATGCTTGCCATTAAAGGATAAGAAATTCGAATGATGGGTGCTCTAACCTTCAGATATTATAAAAAAGTGCTTTAAAAATGATAATCTGTATGTAAGTTTCTCAAACAAGGATAATGCCATATTTTATTAATTAAGCAATCTATTTCATAAATATTTTTTGAGTATTATATGTAAAAACTTTTTAAACATTTTAGAAGGCAATGTATGATACTACAAATTTGTATTTAAGTAAATACTTAGACTTTTCCGCAACTAAAATATTATACATGACATTCTTTTTAATAATTTCGTTTTCCAGTTATATTCCCAAACAATATTTAACTCTAAGCAACCATAATTCCCAGATAGAGTATAACTTATTAAGCTCCCCTCATGCCGGAGCTGTCGGCGAGGTCAATGGAGTGCCGCCGAAATTCCGCGGAATTAAACCTGCCGAAAAAAGAACCCAAAAGCCCCAAGACGAAGAAATAACAAACTGAACACAAGCGCAACTAAACGGAACCACACCGAACGAGGGCAATTTGCGATCGTTGGTAATTATAATTGGGATTCGGTTATTGGGGACTGGAACTCAGAGGAAGGTTGTGGATCGATTGGGGCATTGGTATTGGGTCCACCAGTTGATGATGTCCAGGCCAGAGGATCCTTGAATTTGGCGTTCTTCGGGAGGCTGTTGAATGAGTTTGCAGAGGGCGCAGTAGGGTTGCGAAGTTTTCCTGACTTTATAGAGAGAGTGCCACCAGAAATAGCGCTTATATTCCTCTGTATTATCAGCTAGATCCTTAAGATGATTAATAAGATCTTTGGGAGTGGCAAAGTCCTTGCTGCTAATATAAGAATGCTGTGGCACCAGATTGGTTAGATTTCCTCCTCCAATCAAAACGGGTACCACATATTTATCCATAGCTGTAAACATCTGCGGAGATACATAATCCGGACAAGCAGTTGGTTCGAAGATCAGCATGAAATAGTAGGGACTGCAGCTAAAAGAAAAATATCATCCGATTGTTATGATTTTTTTAAAATCGATGTGTTATGACCTACTCATAGGAACCCAGGCAACTTTCATGGGCATCGAGATCGGCATATTTGCGCAGCTCCTCCAAATACAAACTTTCTGGCAGACTATTCTCATTCACCTCATAGAGCATATAGACAGCCAATCGGGATTTCTTTATTATCTCCCCCTCCAAACGTTGGATGGTAGATTCTGGCATATCATCGGCAAAATTCTTGCTGGGATTACGGAACCACTTGAGTCTTCTGGCGAGATTAGTATGGGAAAAGTAGTAATCCGTCCATATAAGATGCGAATCCAGACGATAAGTCATGGTTAGGTTAAACCACTGGAAATCGGACTGCAGATCCTGTGAAATTGGCTTCTTGGCGGCATAAACCACATAGAAATCCGGTTTGTGTTGGATATCCTGTAAACCTTTAAAGGAATAAGGATGATCTGCATTTACGACCACCGCATCGAAAGCTTTGTCATTGTATTTCCTTTGATTGGTCACCAGGCAACCGCATTCCATGTGGGCAGGTCCTCCAATCAGTGGCTCATTCCATAGCAAAATCATCTTGAGATCTTGCTCTTTAGTTGTCTTATGGTGACGAGACAAGGGAATCGTGGCGAACAGCACGCAAATGGTTACCACAGCCACCACAACTTTCAGGACATTCATACATTGATTGGGGGAGTACAGCTCCCTTTGGAGATTCCTCATGGAAACTGGAGATCTCCTCGGAGGAGGCAGCCTTATAGCATCTTCGGAATTTATGGAATCGCTGTCTGGCATTCGTCGATCCTTGCCATTATCCTCATCCTTTAGAAATTGAGAAGGCAAAAACCTGGGAACATTTTCCAATCCATCTGTCTGCTGTCTTTCCAGCTGCTGCGGATCGGGATTCCTCCTAAAACTTAAGATCTTGTCAACAGGTGTAGGACGAAGTCTATCTATAGGCATTGCCTTTATTAGATATTATAGCTTGTTGTAAAATTTACATATAATTTGATCAAAAAAAGAATTTCTTATAGCACAGCCTTTAAAACAAATTTATAAAATAAATCTCTGGGTTATTAAAAATGTTTCTATGTTTACAGAAGTTACAGAAACTTCAGTTGTTGTGTCTAAATGTTGACCTTAAAATCCAGGAATAGTAGAATGCTCCACTATTATCACTTTTCTGCTCTTTGATTTATGAATATTGAATTTATGGAATACAATACAAATTGCCTAGCATCAAATCGTCGCTGGGAATTGATTGCCTCGATCGGGCATCTATGGAAAACCCCTTTTCAATCAATCCAGCGTTTTTCCAACACCCCCCCAAACCCCCTTCCATTCCACCTGGCCACTTTTGCATTTCCGATTTGGCACTTTCATCAGCGCCTCTTCGCTTTTTGCCATTTTCAACCCGTTCAGGCGAACATGAACAAAGTAATCAATCATTTTGCCAAACCATCAGAAACATGACAATCTGCCAGAAAATTTGCGTAACGTTTCACGATTCACCGTTGGGTTGGGTGGAAGTTATGGAAGGGGGGGTTTATGGCCATCCATCGATGATATATCACTGCAATTTCGAATATTCATTTCTCCGTTGTTGTTTTTCCGACGCCTGCTCTCCTCATCATCCTCCATGGATGCCTCCAGTTCTGGGCTCATTTCAAATGCGTTCCGCATCCGCGATGAGGATGTGGAGTGGGTGGATGGGTAGGTGGATGGGGCGGAGTGGGTGCCGAATAGTGGACAGTGGAAACGCCACTTTGCGGACGTGCCAGGCGCTTCAATGGATCGTCGGCGGAGCAATGGAGTGGATGGATGATGCCGGTGTCATTGTTTCCTCACCCCATCCTCATACCATCTTCCTCCCTCACGCACGTTGTCTCAATTATGGGAGAGTGCCAGTGAGAAAGAGAAAAAAATATAAGTACAAAGAGGAAGTGCACTTGGAAAAAGTTACAATTGCTATTTTTCTGAAGAATTCGCGCTGGGAAAATTTTGAAAAATTTAATATTACATTTGCTAAATTGCTAAAGAATTCGATACAATGCCTATTTTGCAAAAGAATTCGCGGTGAAAATATTTTAAAAAATATAATGTTACTAAGAGTAGATTTTTAATGGCAGCTTAATTTCACAATATTACATTATCAATATTGCTTAAGAATTCGCGGTGGTAAAACATGCTTGAATGTAGCTAAATAATTCACGCAGTTTTATGTTTAAATCTTATTTTTTGAAAGACATTCCACCTTTATTTTCCTAGTGTACACTTGCGGTAGGAGTTAGCAATTTTCGAATTGACAACCATTTAAATGTTACGCATTCATGTTAACTTCCACAACGTGACTCGTTGCCACGGAGGCCAGGAGAAAAAATCCAAAGGGAATTCCGGGGAAGAGAGGAGACCATGTAAATTGCCTGGATCCGATGAGTTATGAAAGTGAAATGGATTTGTGATTGCCGGCCAGACGAGCGAAATTAGAAGACCACCGATCCGAACTAAAACGAACCAAACCGAACAAAACAAAGAAAACTTTTAAGCGAAGCGAACCCAAACATATATAAATTTTAATTATTACCGCGAATCCCGGGCGAATGCATCCCAGATCCCAATACCAAATACGATATACCGAATACCAGCGATCCTTTAGCTCCAAGTCGGCGAATGGCGAATGGCGAACTGGCGAATGGAATTGAAATTCCATTGTGAATATTTTTTTGGGGGCGTTGCCGGCGCGTCGAGAAAAAATGCAATAAATATGCATATGAGAGAGCTCCATACTCCATTTGGGTGCTTCAAAAAGGAGTCCCGAGGAGCCGAGGAGTTATGGCGATTTGAATAATTTGGTTCCCACACTTTCGAAGATCTCCCTCAGCCGCCCAGCCGTTTTTAATTAAAGTTATTAATACGGGGCTCCTCTTTCTGGACTAGGTGATTTACCTAACCACAAGATCTTCGTCTGTCTGACTGGCTGACTGCCCCTTCCACACTTTTGACTTCTGACTCATTTAAAGGCCAGCTACTTATCGGAACTGGAACTGAAAATGAAACTGGAAGGTGTCCTTAAGCCACGATCTTGATCTCCAACGGCAATTAAATGCCGCACACATTGTTGGCAACTGCTTAATTATCCATTCGATCCCATTCGATTCGATTCGATTCCAAAGAGCCGCCTTCTCCTTCACTCGAACCTTTGGTCTTTAGTCTCAAGTCCTAAGTCTTCGGGCAAGGAGCTAACGAATTAACATGTAATTATCTCAGCTTGGGCCGCTGGCCAAAGGAAACGCATCGAATCGCCGGCGACACCCGGACCAAAAACAAAACTGGCTAATAGGGATGGTCATTTGGATATTTTCTAGTAAAAAATATAAATACTTTTACTAGCTAACTAAATTGAAAAAATAAAATTAATAAAGAAATTTAAAAACAATCACTTTGCTCTGTTGGAATATTTTAAAAATTAACGAATATAGAGAATATAAAAAATTCAACATTCAATATTAAAAATTACATTATTTAAAATGTAAAATGCATTGAAAGTGTTTGTAACAGGGACCGTAATCATTATAAGTTAAATAATAAAAATTACTTTGAAATGATTAAAATTCAATTTTTATATTTTACTTAGAGCATAATAATTATTTTTGATCAAAAAAAATAGGACTCAAAAATAATTTTTATTGATGATTTTTATTTTTTTTGCTCAAAATAAAACTCAAAACAGCCTCGCGGGCCTCCTGTAAGACTTTTCTCCAATCTGATTTCACAGCCGTTTAAGAGGCTATTAAAACTACCTCCACGATTTTTTGCAAATTTTTTTAACCACTTTTAAAAAAATGGCTTATCCCATGATTTGTATTTTATTCCAAAACCCATTAGCCTGACCTGCGACATAATGGAATATTGGGAGGAGAAACGCTTTGTATTCCCCTTTTTGTATCAACTGGCCAAGGTCGTACATTCAGTTCCCGCTACGCAAGTGAGCGTGGAAAGATCTTTTTCGGCCCTCAAAATGGTACTGACCGATCAAAGGTGTAACCTTGCTAATGAGGCTTTATCAAAATTATTATTCGTAAAATTAAATAATAAATAAATATGTTTGTAAAAAAATAGTGGAGGAGGTCCGCGAGGCTGTTATGAGTTTTATTTTGATTGGAATAAAATACAAATCATGGGATAAGCCATTTTTTTAAAAGTGGTTAAAAAAATTTGCAAAAAATCGTGGGGGTAGTTTTAATAACCTTTTGAACGGCTGTGAAATCAGATCGGCGAAAAGTCTTACAGGAGGACCGCGAGGCTGTTATGAGTTTTATTTTGATCGGAATAAAATAAAAATCATAGGATAAGTTATTTTTACAAAGTGGTTAAAAAAATTTGCAAAAAATCGTGGAGGTTGCTTTGATAAGCCTTTAGACGGCTGTGAAATCAGATTGGCGAAAAGTCTTACAGGAAGCACGCGAGGCTGTTTTGAGTTTTATTTTGAGCAAAAAAAATAAAAATCATCAATAAAAATTATTTTTGAGTCCTATTTTTTTTGATCAAAAATAAAGATTACCATTGAACAAAAAGATAAAAATCAAAAATTTAAAAATCATGGCGGGAATGCATAGATTGGACAAAGATAATTATTTGGGTGAAAATCACTTTTTTTTAGGCCTATTATAAGTGGCCGATTTTTTTGTTTGAAAAAATAAAAATAATAATTATTTTCGGTCCCTGGTTTGTAATAAATTTGAAAAATTGTTCTATCTATGAATCTAGTGCTCGAAGAAAATCGATGTTAGTATCAATAATATCGATGTATTCAATGTTTGATTCTTAAATCGATCTAAATAAATATGTTTAACTTTAAATATATAGTTTGGGTATCATTTAAATAAATACAAAAGTTTTTCCCAGAGGTTATTAAGGTACATATAATATTTTATTATTTCTCTTTATATTAAACTAGCACATTTAGCTATTTTCTATAAACTAGAAACAGGCATCACTTTTAACCAGAACCGCGGCTGCAGCCTAGACACCGGTAAAAGATACAGATACAAACCGAGTCGAGGGATTCCGATTCCTCTTGCAGAGGCTGAGGTAGCAGCTGCCGCAGGTTGCGTGCGTGCCGCTTCTTTCTCCGCCCCCTTTCGATTCCTAATTCCCGCTTCTGGGGGCGTGGTCCTTCTTAGGCGGATTTCCAAATTGATCTCGGACCTCGTGGACCCTTCGAACTAAACCAAACTGAACCGACCACCCGCACTAATAAGACAAAGGGAAGGGGCAAGTGGCGCTAAAGTTGTCAGTCGCCTTGTCCGCAGGCGACGATCCTCTACACCCTAATTAGGTGTTATCTACGACTTGGGTTTACCTCCTTTTTATGTGGCCGACAAAGTGAGAAGAGGTTCTGCCAGTGGTGGTTCGGTGGAGTGATTATATGAGGATACCTCAAGACCTCAAAGACCCCCGAAGACTTTCGACTTTCACTATAAACAAGCCACTTGGCGCCACTCGAAGGCGGTAAATTTTTATAAAGAATTTCGGTGAAAATTTCATAGAACTAAAATTAAAAATATAGATATCTTTGTAGAAATTTTGAAATTTGTATTTAAGTAAAAAACATAACATTTAATATGATGAATGAAATAGTATTTCAAAATTATAATATTGCCTGCTAAAAATTCTAACAAATAAAATAATAACATAAAAACAAATTTTAAATTATTTATTATTTTATTTATCTGAATTATTGGCAGACAATTTGATTCTGGAATATTATTTAATATTCCGAATATTCAGTTTTTTTAATTTAAACTCCCAATTACTTTCAAAAAATCACAGAAAAACAGTCTGATTAAAAGACTTGTTGACCTTAATGTGCGTGTGAACATGACATAATCTCCGGGTTGACTCATCCTCACACGCATTTTGGCGCCACTTATTCGGCGGATGAATGTAATCCATCACTGACACACTTGTGTCCACTTGTTGTCCACTCGGTTGTGCTTATCACTGCCCGGTACTATACACTATACGGTAATATGCAGCCACTCATTGTCCAAATCCCAATTCATGCCGACTGTTTTGCGCAATTGATGGCAATCAAAAGGGAAGGGCAATTGCTGCGATCAGCGGTGGAGACTCCTCCGTGGAATCATCATCACGCAATGACACATCCGGAAACGGGCAATCAGCGAACCAGAGAAAAGCGGATTCCGCTGATTTAAGCCGGGGGTCCAACTAATTGTGACCCACTCTCGTCGCGTTTATCTATGAATTCATGAATGCAACTGCAAAAGTTCATCATAAATTGGCTAAACTGGACCACAAATCTTTTGAGTGCTCTGAAAAGTATTGTACGACGCACGGATTCTTATTTGTAGAGGTTATTTCAATTATGTTTGGAAAAAGAGATATGCTCTTTGAAGAAAAGTTTTATTTATTAAGATTTTATAAAAATTTTTAAAATCTTTACAAATTTATTTCCAAAATGTGATTCTGAATAAGTTACTAAATTAAATTACGAAATTTTACGTCTTAAATATCTTTTTAAATAATTATTTATTTTAAAATTCATTTTTCCTATTCCTATTTAGAAAAAACAAGAGAGAACGCTATAGTCGGGTGCCCCGACTATCAGATACCCGTTACTCAGCTAAAGGAAGTGCGAAGGAGATAGAGATAAATCCGCCGTAACTTTTTAACGAATGGTCCGATTTAAAAAATTTCTTCTACATTTCGATAGGTATTGATAAACACCATAAAACTGCATTTTTACTTTTCCGAAATATTGAAATTTTTAAAATCGTATATTAGCGATTGTGGGCGTTAGAGGGGGCGTGGCACCCTTTTGAAGCAAACTTGCGCTGCGTAGGAACTCCTAGAATCTGCATGCAAAATGTCAATCTTCTAGCTTTTATAGTTTCCGAGATCTCAGCGTTCATACAGACAGACAGACGGACAGACGGACAGACGGACAGACGGACAGACAGACGGACAGACGGACAGACGGACAGACGGACATGGCTAGATCGACTCGGCTAGTGATCCTGATCAAGAATATATATAGTTTATAGGGTCGGAAACGCTTCCTTCTACCTGTTACATACTTTTGCACGAATCTAGTATACCCTTTTACTCTACGAGTAACGGGTATAAATACGTTGCATACTTTTTGAATACCACATTTCCTAGTTTTATTTTTTCTCGTTGCCAAGGAACTTTTTTTTTTTATTAAAATGGAATACAAATACAATACTTCTTGATTACTGGATCATTTGTGCATTTACTGTGTTTTTTGTAGGACTCCAGTCGACTCACTTCGTCCACGTTCATAGTCAGGGTTTCCTTTTGCGTGTTCCACTGTACAGTGGCCTCGAAATGCGCCGAAGTGGGTCTGGTGTCGAATGTGATGATGTAGGTGTGCACTAGATCATCTTCGACGGATTCATCCGTCAATGGCACCTGGCGATCCATAACAATTACCTTTTTCAGGGTATAACTTTCGCAGATATTGGTAAGATTCCGATGCTCCAGATGTTGATTCATATGAAGCACCACCGCCTGACCCACTTTCTTCATGTGTTTTTGATTAGTTACCGTTTCGGTGGGTTGACAGGAGCACCATTTTTTACGAATTCCCGCCTGAGAGCATTTCCGGTTATGAGGAAGTTCGAAAAACAGCGATTGGCAGCCTTTGCACTGTGAGGACCGAAATTTTGGATTGAATTTCGACATGGAAGTGAGGTTAAGTTGAAGCAAGTGATGCAAAGTCATGTAAAGATCGAATCCCGAGGACAGGCGATTCTGGTTGATCTTTAGGTTTTCCACATACTGGGGATATCTCCGCCTAAACCAGGGTGGCACATATACAAACATTATTGGCAGACGTTCTTCCAGATAACCCGATTTGGCGCCCATTCGGGTAACTCCATATCGATAACCATGATCACTCAGTACAAAAACTATCGATTGATTGAAAAATCCCAATTCATCGTAGGCTAAAAGGTATTCCCAGAAGATCTTATCCAAAGCGGTGGCTCCCAGGAAATCCTCGTGGGTGAAGCTGTTGCTCCAAAAGATTCCGAAAAGGGGTGCTGAATTCTGGAAGCGTTGCATAAACTGGCGGGCAAAGTCGAAAACATATTTGAAGGCCAACTTGCGGCCAAGACAGAAAGCATTTCCATACTCCCTTCGAACTTTTAGAATATTTTCCAAGGCCAGTATGAAATTTCTTAGATAATAATCCACTGGCTGCTTCTTAAATCCCGGCTTATGGTAGTTGAAGGTATTGATCTTACTACAATCTTCACCGAAAGCTGTTAGATAACCGTACTTCTTGAATCTCTGCCAAATGAACTTTAGTTTGTCGACAAAACCTCCTCGACTGAATTTACTCATTTGCATGGCTTTCTCCTCGGCATTTCCAGTGAGATAGGCCAAAAGATTGGGTATGGTATTCTCACCCACCTTATTGAAACCTTGCATTTCGAACCATCCAGGTCTTTGTAGGAATTCGTGGAGTTTCGGCATAGAACGTCTTAGATTTATACGAGATGTGGAATCAATTCCTAGGATTATTACATTTGGTTTGGTTTCTTTATCAGGACGAGGTTCTGTATAGTTTCTTTTAAGTGTCAGTCGATCCTGAACAAACAGAAAAGCATCTTCTTGAAGAAGTTTCAATTCTTTCCTGCCATTTGCAGCATGACATTGGGTGCTTATAAAGTCGATGTGCTTTGGTACCAAAAAAGATTGGGTTAAGGGACGAAAATCCGAAAGACTGTAAATAAATATTATAAATATTATTTATAAACATTATTTTAAAACCCACCTAAAATCCTTATCCGGATATGACTGCTTTGTATTCCGACCAATCACCTGATATTGACACTTGAGTGTAGAGTTTCCCAAATTTTTTGTGAGCCCTTCAAAGGAGCTCTCATCAATATGCATCCTATATTGTCTTAGTTCCGGATCGAACACACTGTATACCAAAGCTTTATCGTTGCTGCACTCTTTCAACTTTTTTCGTTTAAAATGTTTCATGATGTCAGCGGAAAATGGATCCATTTCTGGCATTTTACACGACGGACTGTTCACATAATATTCTTGATCTATTTTTGCAAGACTTTCGATACTTGGATAGTGCGAGTGCAAAGTCATTTTGGCTAGGCAAAGAATAAAAACAACACTACAGAGTATGAAGACATTGCTCTTCAGATCCATTATAACGACTGCATTGTCATGGGATAAGGTTCTTATTATAATACTTAGAAAATTCGTTATGCTAATTTGTAGATTGTTAAGGTTGAATTTAAGTAAAATACTAGGTCTCTAAAGTTGTGTACCTCTTAAATGAATTTATTTCTTCTTTTGAATATTTATAATATATTACATTTGATTAGCTTTTCGAAGTTTATCGCTATAATTCCCAACCAGCGGCTTTAAAAAAAATTTGTTGAATATGAAGCCAATCTTTAGATTTTCTTAAATATATTTTCTGTTACTTGTCATTGTTTTCATTTCGATGGTTCTTCTTTTAATGGTGTGTGTTTTTTGCCACTTTTTGAAATTCATATTTAAGCGATTTTGAGAGAGTGCCCAAAGGCACACAAATCATGCCGACTATCCTGGAACCGAGGGCTATATCTTCCCGGCCGTGTTTATAGCGCTATGGCGTGAGACACTGAGACATGGGCAATTATGTAAATATGCGGCGGCGCCTGTTCGCTGTTAGCTGGGAAAGTATAAAGGACTAAGGACGAAGGACACAATGGGACAACCGCAAATTATTGCCGGCCATTTGGCGAATGAATGCGTGACAAAACACAGGGCCAAACAGAGGACACTCCTTGGATGGAAACGATGGTATGGGATGGGATGGGAGTATTCACAGGAGGACTCCTGAGAGGACACAGCGACACTCGCGTACAAGGACAATGGAAAATGGACAGCAATGGACAGCGGGGCGCAGCGGGAGTGGCAGCGAGGTCAAAGGTCAGCCGCGCTAATGTTGTGCTAATTGCTAATTGCGATTGGAACGCGGTGGAAATGGAAGAGCAGCCAACAGCAAACAGCTAACAGAAAAAGCGGGACAAAGGAGCTGCTGAGGCGGCGCTCTGGCCTAATTGAAGTGTCCTTGCCGGCGGAGATGATTTACTGCCCGGCGCTTCACGAACGAGGTAGCTGCCGATTGTCAAAGGTGAAAGGTGCACTGGGAAAAAAGGGGAAGGCAACGAGAGTGATTCAAAGGCTAACAGGATGGAAAACAGTCTGAGTTTATCCGAAGAATATAAAAAGATTTTTTTTAGGAAAATATATTCAAGCCCTATTTTTGGGATCATTTTATTAAAGTCAATTCCAATACTCGAGATTATTTAGACTTATAACGAATTGCATTTAAACACTTTAAAAAATCAATAGGCTTTAAATTGGGAATCTTTTTATAATACATCCTTAAATACTATTTTTAATTAATTAATGTCTAATAAAAAGTCCTCAAATGATACGTTTAAAATAATGTTTCCTATTTAAATTCGGGTTTTAATAAAATGAATAAAAAACATTTAAATACCATTTTCCCAAAAATGTTTTATCGATTTCTTAGGCGAACCAAATTCTCTAAATTTTTTTTTCAGTGCAGTCTTAACCCTTTGGGTTTCATTGCCATCGAAAGCGACGTCTGGCGATGATGACAGCAGCATCCGAGTGGACCACCCAGTGAGACCAACAAACTGCTGTTCCTTCATATCCTGGCAGGAGGTCCTTGGCCCCCAAAAGGAACCCCTTCTCCCCCCTCCGATGGCATTGTTTGGTAATTCGATCTGGCGCACGCGTGGCCAGCTCAAGACGCAAGACCTAAAGACCCCAGGATCAAAGGACGCCCAAGTGGATCACTCTCTGATCTTTTTCGGCAGTCGCCAGCCGTTTGAGTTGCGTCAGATGAAGAGGAGAGAAAGGATCAGGGGCAGACCCAGTCAGGTGAGGCCAGGTGTCAAACGTGTAACTGGATACGCCACTGGCCACCTCATCGGGGGCATCAGGATCGGGATCAGTTCATCTTTAGTTTTGGCATATGCAAAGTGGACCACCAAATTGACTGGCTCGACCGTCTGCTGTTTTTGGGTCACTTTTGGGCGATACTCTTCGAAGGTTAAATGGGGTATAAAGATTATATTATGAAATATATTTAAAATATCTTATCGTTCTTAAACCTCAAATTCTAGACCTTGGAAATTTATAGATAGAAAATTGAAAACAAACAATATACAAAATATTTTTAGTTATTTTATTTTAATTTTAATATTATTCTGAAAATGTTAAATGTAAACAAAATTAAATCTAAACTTGACTGAATATATTTAAGGTATATTTTTAAAACTTAATTATTTTTTAAATTTGCGGAAAATTATTTATTTATTTTCTAGGTTTTATTCAAATGTCTCAACCCCTCAATAAATGTTTTGAAGTGCTTTCTAACTTATAAAACAATTGCAGAGCATACAAAAGTTGTTTTTTTTTTTTCTTTTACCCTTTTTAATATTTTTTCCCCCGATCCCCTTCTTTTTTTTGGGGCATTTAAAATGTGTCTTTGGCCCGTTTCTCCTTTTTTTGCCGGCCACCCGAGTTGATTGAAATTTCGGCAATGACCCCTGCAGCAGCCGACAATTGTGGCCAAAACGGCAGCAAAAGCATGAGCACAAAGCAGAAAGCAGCGAGCAGAAAGCAAAAGCAGCTGGAAGCAGCAGACTGGAAGCAGCTGCTTTGGCTTTTAACGTGGACATTAACGTTAACAGCGACCTTTAGTTTGCCCACTGGCCAAATCGACGAAGCGTTAAAACGCACACGTTGACAGCTTTTTTTTCATTATAATACTTTTTTTATTTTGAGCCTTTCTTTATGGGCTTCATGGGTTAACAGTTGCAGTTACATTCTGGCTTTTGCTCCGCCGGTTGCTTAATGTGCGATTTCTATCTGCAAATATAAATTGTAATTATTGCATTGTTGCGTCGGAGTTGCGGCAAGTTCTTATCAGCAGGCAGCCATCGCCAGTCGGCTGACAAAGGCTGCAAAAAGAAAAATTAACAAAAAATTGCAAATGAGTGTCGAAAAGTACATACCCCCCTCTTACCTCTTTTTTCAGTTCACCTGGCATTGTTTTTCCCTTTCCACGGCAGACAAAGCGAAACAAATTGCCCAACTTTAGTTGCCGTTTCTGCTGCTGCTTTTCGCGCTTTAACACTTTTTTGAATGGGACAGAGGGGTTTTTTCCTCTGTAAAATTGATGATGGACCCTGAGTTATTGCCCTGGCTTGGTGACGACAGCTGCTTCTGAATAAACTGGGGAAAACTGGGCTGCGACCACCCAGTCAGGCACAAGAATCCCCCGGGAAAATGATTTAAGAAAATACATTTTAATTACGGCGCTCGAAAAAGTGATGAAAATTGCCCGCAGAGAAGAGGAGGGGCTAAAAACCAAACGCGTTAATCAATAAATTGCCGCTCAGTGCAGCGATGATTTTTCCTCCACCACCCAAACCAAACCAAAATGCATCCAACGGTGCGTATGAAATTGAAAATCAAGCAACAGAATCGAAAATCCACTTGGATTGGAGTAGAGGAGCTTGGGTGTTGTGGCTTATAAAGACCACACGAATGGCGCCCCCATATGGAGAGGGAGACCCTCCTTTTGGAAGAGAACTCAGACTGAGACCGAGGGGGCAGCGCTTTGATTTATCACTCACTGGGTAACTTGGAGTCGAGCCGATCTGTCTGCCCCTTTCGACCAGGGCATCACTCACTTGTTTACTAGAGGTTATTACACGGTGAATAAAAATATATATATTTAAGAAAATATTAGATTGAAAACTTACTTTTAAAAATACAGTAAATGGGATCAGAAGAAAATCCAATTTAAATCGAAATCTTACGCAAACTAGCTAATTAAGGCCTCATTACTAGATTTAATTTATTAATTACTCAGCAGAATTTTATTTAGGCAATACCAATATTAACAAAATAAAAAAGAAAATATTTATCTTAGATGTCAAAAAATGTGTAAGAGAAACAATAAAATACTAAGGAATTTTTCTACTCATTCTGTGGATTAAGGAGTATTGTGTTATTATTTTTGATACAAAATATATTTAAGATTTAAGGTATACTGGAGTAGTTTTTAAATATTGTGTTACCATTGTAGAACAAAAGATCTTTAAATTAAAATACAAAAATTGTGTATAGATTCAGTCAGCATCTATTAAAAATCAAGAATCGAAAATAACAGAATATTAACTCTAAAATATTATTTAGATAAAATGGATTCTACAAATTAATCTTGTTGATCCCCAATTTCGGGTTTTGTTATTGAAAACATTGTGATAAATATATTAAAACGCTGCTAAAGTTTTTAAACATTATTAAAATTTCCTGAAACGACTCCTAATTAAATTAAACAATTTTCTTGCAGTGCATTAACTGCGGCTTTGATTGATGCCCCCACACATGCACTGGGATAAAAAACGAGAGACCCACACATGACCACACCCAGCGACCCAGACGCCGGCCTTCTCGATCACCTTCATCTTCATCTGCAGCTTCTCCCACCTTCTCCTCCACCTTTGCCTTGGACTTGGATCTTGGATCTTGGATCTCTTGAGTCTGGCATCTTGGATATCTGGAATTGGTAGTGGACTTTTCGTTTTGGTATCGCTTTTGGCCTTTGCCACGGTCATGGCCCGTTAATTGAAATATGTTTTTGGCCCGGAGATCAAAGGGATCGAAAGTGGCGTTCGGGCGATGATGATGATGATTTGATTAATTCGAATGGGAATAGCTCTCTGTGTGAAGTGCAGTCGATAAGGCAGATGCGGTGATGATGGGTTCGATTCAGAACTAATTAAAACATTTAAAATAAAAACACCACACAAACGCGAAACGAGCAAGTTTTTTTATGTTGTGGAAATACGTGGAAAATAAAACATTAAACAATCATAAAAATAAATACATTTTCCCACACTTTTGTGAAGGCAGGCAGAGACAACAAATAATAATAATAAAAACGAGAAGCAGTCGAGAAACTTTTGTACTACATGGAAATGTCATTCGCATAACAACAAAAGACAACGAACCAACAACAACGAGCCATGATGATGATGATGATGATGATGATGATGGGCAACGACAACAACCAACAACGAAACAACGCACAAAGTTTCAATTCTCCACTC